AAAAATAATAAATTTAAATAAAGATGATTTTTTTGATTTGTTTTACATATATTTTTATTAAAATTTTATTAAATCCGCTAAAAAAAAAATCATCTATGTATACTACCCGGGGTTTTTACAAATTTTCAGCCCAAAACCTTGGGGTAGATTAGTCAGTGCTTTACGGTAAATCATATGATCCGTAATGTGATTTTACTGGCTACGCTCCCATATTTTAATAGTTGCTGATCATCACCAAGATTATAAAATCATGAGCCTTTTGTTTTAAAAAAAAATATATATAAATAAAATCCAAAATCATCACTTTAGCTGAAGAAAATGGTTTACTATTTTACTTGTAAAGGTACCAATTTTAATTATTTTTCTCGTGGTCTTAGATATCTTTGCACTGAATTTTTATTTTAAATTCTAAAGTGGTTGATCCTCCGGCGTTGATATACATGGGCAAGAATATGGAGGAAAGTAAGTGAGGCTTTGTTTTTTTTTTAAAAAGAATTCATATTATCAATTAATTAACAATCTTATTACCATATTTTTTGTATCGATATTTTATCAGACGAAGATTTGATTAAATATGGGTGGGAAGATGATGTTTGGTATGACTATCATTTGGTATATAGTAAACGCATTCGCAAATTCACTTGGATTGAATGAATCCGATTTTATAGTATAGAATTCAGAAATTTACAACGACTTCGGTCCAATTCAATTCAAATGAATTTGTGAGTGAGATTTGATATTAAACATTTAATTTTTGTAAGTCTAATGCATACCACGAGCACAATGGTAAATATTATCAGGTGACTTTTGTTACTAAGAAATTCCGTACCCTTTCTTTTTTTCTGATGGGATGTGAAATTCATAGGGTATTTATATTTTGTCTATAAAGTTGAAATTTAAATTCCAATTTTCATATTTATAATTAACTTATTCCAAATTGAAGTTCCATGTTCATCCACATTCAAGCGCACATGTGTATCTTCGACTTCAACCCGGACAATCTTGGGAAAATATTCCCCAAAAACTTTTGGAAGATTTAGGTCAATTGGCTAAAGATAACAGTATTAAGGGTTCGTTTTTATTTGCGTCCAATAGAAAATTAATTAGAATTCCAAAAAAAAAATTCATTTTTAAATTTTATATAGGGTGCAAGGAGAATAACGTTACAATTTTATACACTCCATGGTCAAATCTGTTGAAAACTAATGATATGGCCACCGGAGAAGTTTCTTTTCGTGATCAAAATAAGGTAATTCTTATTTTAATTTGCCAATATTGAGCGATGAAGTTACAAAGTATAAAACAATTTTAACTTGTGATCTAGGTAAAAAAAATGCAAGTTAAAACAAAAGATAATAAAATTATAAATCGTCTTGAGAAAACCAGAATAGAGAAATTTCCGGATCTTGAGAAAGAGAAAATAGGAGCGGAAAAAGAAAAACGAAAAATAGCTAGAGAAACGGCGATTGCTAAGGTAATTTATTTGAAGTTTTATTGAAGCAATTGATTAATGTTAATTTTGATCTTCTGAATCTATTTCTAGGAACAAGAAGAGCTTCGTTTGGAGCAAGATAGGAAAAGTAAGGAAGCACAAAAATCTTATGATTCACTCTTTGATGAATCGAATATGCGCAGTAATTACGATAATAATATCGATCTGGAAGATGATTTTATGTAACAGATAATGTTAATTGCTTGGTACATCCATGATATTTTTATGCTGTTGAAATAGAATTAAATCAATATGTATATATAATAACAAATGTCTAATAAAATTGGAAATTCATTTTATGTATAATGTTGAATGACATCCTTTGATCACGTGAATATTCGTGAATAATTTTTTCTTAATTTCGTAGATCGTGTTCGAATTTATAAAAACTATAGCATAAATATACGCGTGCAAAGTTAAATTTCAAGTAGTAATGAACATTTCGCGTTTATAATATCGAAAATACGAATAAGGTTAAAAGTCAAACTAAATATTCGCGTTTGTTTGCTTTATAATTTTGTTACAACCTAGTAGTCATGACTGAAATGGTAGAAGAGTTGTTTAAGCCTCAAGAGGAGGAGTGGTTGTGTAATTCGAACGAAGCAGTTACTATTTGGTTTTGTACGTCAATTTTTTTTTATAATTAATTTTGTAAAGATAAGAACGATACTTTAGTCTAAAATGATACAACTTTTATTTTTTTTTTAGTTGAACCTTCAACTGACCCTGACCAGGAATTTGATTATGCTCAAGTTTCCCCCACTTTTACTTATTCAATCTTTGGTGATAAAGAACAAATTTATGGATATAAAAATTTAGAAATTGTGGTATTTAATCATATGATATTAGCCATTTGAACGTAGTATAATCTAATAATATTGATTAATTATTCTTGACTAGCTCAAATTTGCGTCTGGAAGTCTTGCCACTTACTTCGATGTTCAGTATACCGAAAAAATTCCAGATGTTTCTTCAAAATCTATAGCGGATGATGTTATAGATAAGATTAAGGAATTGATACCGAATGGTATGATAATTATTTTTAAATACATTTCAAAGAAACCTTAATTTTAACATGTTTAACGTGTCTTTATGTTTCTACTTAATTTAAAAGATTACATCACAAATTATGACATTTTTCTAAAATCTGTTAACGACGATGCTTACCACTTCAAACCAATGGGCGAAAAGATAACAGAATATCGTCTTGAAGAGGATGAAGATGAAGATATAGTTTATGAAATTTATAAGGTTAATGAGACATATCTTCATATATCTTCATATATTTTTATATATAACTATTATTTTATATAAATCTAGGCGACGTTTGAAACACCTCGATTCAAGGAATATCACAGACGATTTCAGATAATGGTATTATTCTATATTGAAGCTGCAACATATATAGATGAGGACGAGAAATGGGAAACTATGCTTTTGTATGTTCGATTTTTTCAACGACGTGTAATGTTTTATGATTTCTCACTTTAAAGGTAATTTGTTCTTATAGGTTCGAAAAGAAGCGTATAGGAGACAAACACATATATGGTTTTGTGGGTTTTTGTTCGATGTACAATTATTACTTTTATAATCGTGAAAAGAATGTTAGTACAGAGAACAACATTAACGATAAAGTACCAAATTTGGTATGTGTCAATGAAGGTAAAATTATTCCTGAAGACATACGATTAAGGATTAGGTAAATGTATCTTCTATGGTTTTTTTCTTAATTAATTTTGCGATTAATAATTGAAATTAATCGATTTCGCGTTTTACAGTCAATTTTTGATTTTTCCTCATTTTCAAGGGAAAGGCCATGGAAGTAAGTGAATAATGAATGAGAGTTTAGGCTTGTGGGGGAGGCATCAAAATTAAAAAAATAATAATAATTTTTTTCCTCCTACTTTTAGGTAAACTCTATCAGACTATATACCAATATGTTTTGTCAAACTCGAGGATAAAAGAACTTGCCGGTAATTAAAAATATGTTATTTTTCTAAAAAATATTTGCGTAATTAATTAATGTATTTTATGGTATAGTCGAAATCCCAAATGAATCTTTTGAAGCTATCCGGGATAAGAATGATTTGCAATATTTACGTGAACATAAAGTCTTTGAAGGACTAGTAGCTCCCGTCGATAAAAAAATCATTGATTCGATACGGCGGAATTACAAGTTAAATAAAGTAAGGATTAGAATGTAAAATTTAGATATGTTTTTTCTTTTTTTTTTATGCTAATTGATATACTTTATATTTAGCGACAATTACTTCGATGTTTGGAAATTGAACTATTGAGAAAATTAAACAAGACGGATGCTGCCGCTTATAAAGCATATCGATTACAAGTGAAGGAAAGGTTATATAATTGGAATAAAGTATGTATTATGAAGAACGCGTCTTGATTCAATATTATTTTATACTAAATGTTTGTTTTTCTTAGGAAATATTAAAAGATGTTGATAGATCTGAACGTATAGGAAAATTGGAGGAAACATTTAAAGGTCTTATAGAAGAATATCACGAGATTATATTGAAATATAATTGGTGAAAATTTTTCGTAATTTACTTTTTTTTTTTTTATTTAGATAGTGGTAATTGTGATGTCTTTTTAAATTTTGAATATAAATTTACGTTTGAAATAAATAATATATTCTAAATTGTTAAATAATTCAATATTTTTTTCAGAATTAGATAAACTAAGAATTCCTATTATTAGGTGATCTATCGAAATGCTAATAATCAGTGTAAGTAATAGCCGCCTTTATAATAACCTACCAAAAGAAGAAACCATCAGAAAAAAAAATAATTCTTAAACTCGCAAACAAATTATAAATTAATAAAATCTCCCAAATCCACATTGCAAGATAATCTGATCTCTATTCTTGACATTTACTGACATCAAATACTTTTTTCCTCTCATAACAATTGTTTATTTGTAGTCAATTTTTTTTTGTGATATGTACATATTAGATAAATTAATCAATAATTGTGACTTATTCAGATACTTTGCCTGTTTTTTTTTTTAAAAAAAAAAAGCTCTTCTTAACCCGATTATTCAAAAAAAAAAACATAATTATTCTGTAAAATAATATTAATTATAATAATAATAATAAAATAATAATAATTCCCGTTATGAATGAAAATAAAGATATCAAAATTCGTGAAGCAGTTCAATTCTTGACAGAGGGCGATAAAGCGTTAGTAATTATTATCAATTGTTCAAGTTTCAATACTCTGTCTTTACATTTATCTCGGTTTTGACATTTTTTTAGGACCAAAAAGAGTTGGTTCAAGAAACCTGAATGGGACGTTGCCGGGCAAAATTACGACAAAGCTGGTATTCTAATGGCAAAATTATTTATTATTATAAATTCTAATTTATTTTAGTTTTGGCATTAAGAAAACTTTTATCATTTTCAAAGCTTCGTGTTTCAAGGCTGCTCGATCATTTGATCAAGCAATTCAAGCTTATCAAAAGGCTTCGGATGCGATGTTTAAATCTGATTCGTAAGTGTCTCTAACTTTTTTTTTTTTTATAATAAATTTCTTATCGATCAATCCCATTTTGTAGCTTATTTATGGCCGCAAAATCAATGGAGTCTGCTGCAAACCTAGCAGCTCAACAACTTAAACAACCTGAAAGAGCAAGTGAAATGTACCGAAAAGCTAGTGACTTATATCAAGCTCATATGACTCCAGATCGAGCAGGTGAAATGTTGGAAAAAGCCGCAAGGTAAAATAAAATAAAATAAAAATAAATAAATTTTTTTTTTTTTTTCAATGAATTGGGTTTATTTATTTAAATTTTTTTTTTTCCTTAAAAAAAAAAGAACTATGGAGCCAATTTCGGTCGATAGTGCCATAGAATTTTATGTTGCTGCATGCAACTTATTTGAATCGGAAGATCGTGGAAGGTTTGCAATCGATACATTTAAGAGAACAATAGCGACTATGATCAAAAACAAAAGGTTAATTGATATTTTTAACTTGGTGATTATCAATCATTTACATTTCAAGATTTCTAACCAACCGAAATTTATCTTATAAGATACATAGAAGCAGTAGAAATCATGCATCGACTCTCAAAGATATATCAAAGCATTAATAATCAATCAGGGTTGAATAAAAATTGTTTAGGCATTATCATAACATTATTGGCGGCAGAAGATGAGGTTGAAGCGAAAAAACAATTTCAAACATTTTGCCAGTGATTATTGGATCTATTTTTTATTTTGATTTTATATCTTCGAAGCTCGACTACTTAATATATATATATATATATATATATTATTTTTTTTAATAGACATGCCTTTGTCCGGTCAGAGGAATCAGCGATTTCAAGTTCGCTTTTGGATGCTTTTGAACAAGGTGATCAGGATCTTATCGACAAAGTTATGCGTAATCCAATCGTTACTTATCTAGACAATGAAGTAGCTAAACTTTCTAGAGAACTGCAAGTTCCTGGATTTTCAAGTCGACCTTATATCCCTCAATCAGTGGGTCCAGAGAAAAAGAATATGTATAATCAACCGCAAAGTGATTCTTATTCTTTGCAAAATCAGGAGAAAAAAACGAATCCTTATTATTTAAATGATAATATGGTAAATGAAGACAAATCCTTGCATGATCACAAAGATGAAAAGCAAACATTTGACGGGGATAATGATGAAAATGTTATTGTGCCTCCTAAAGAGGATCCAATACACCAACCTCCATCTGCTATCTCAGCACCCGTACATTCACAGGAAACAGCCGAAGAGGAAGATGATGGTTTATGTTAAATTTAAAAATACAAACAATACTTTTTCAAAAAGTGTACAATATTAATCGAATGCCTAAGTTTTACAATAAATCGAAAATTAATTAAGAGTACTAAAATTATTTACAATCTATAAGATGATTAAAATATACCAATAAATATTATTTATAATGCTAGATGTAAATAGTAAATCAATTGATAAATATTTAAATATTCACACAGACCAACATAACAAATCCACATCGAATTTCCTTACCACACGGAACAAACAACTCGACGCAGAATGTTTGATTTACACACCATTACCTACTATCACCAAATTCCTTCAGGAAAGATACAGGATTGATCATGTTGCGTTATAAAAGAACAGCGGCAAATTTTCAGATTCTTTCAAAACAGCTATTGGCGATCGATGTCAGGTTCATCCTGTTGCAATTTTTTCCGGTATTGTTAAGTTGGTCCTTGCCTCTTTCTCTTTTTCTTCTTCTTCATGATACAAATCACATTTTATTCCACTTTGCTCCAAGGATTGTTGAATTCTTTCCAAGGCTACTTGATTTTGTCTTGATAATTTTATTAAAGTGCTCATTTGTTCCAACAAAGTATCCTGATTAGATATTAATTCTTCGTTCATTGAAGAATATCCGCGAGGTACCTGAGATACAAAAGAATGTGTACTTTCAAAACTGGCTCGCAAATCAGGTCCTGCATAAATAATATATTATGATTGATTATAAAATTTTTCAAAATTAAATGAAAAAGATTAAATGAAAAAGTTATTCTTTTACCCAAAGTATATCCTTCGTCCTCTTCAGTCCCATTTGTGTTACTGTTTACCTGCATTGTAATTACGATTATTAGCTTGTGTTAGGATCACTGAATTTTCTTTTAATATTTACCCGAGAATTAGCAGTCGAACGACGATATTGTCGCATTGCCTCCCATACTAATGTAAAATTTCTTCCAACAATAATTGATGGCAAAGCAATTAACTACATAATTTTAACTAGTATTAATGATAGATTCATTGACGGCTCACATTTTTTTTTTTGAATTAAGATTACTCACAAGAATCCCGCACATCATTGCGGGAAATGCTATCAATTTTCCTATAAATGTTGTGGGAACCATATCACCATATCCTGTAGTAGTAATAGTAACCATAACAAACCAAAAAGCTGATGGAATACTATCAAAGGAACTAATAAGCGTAATAAGAAAATTTAATTTCTCATAACATTACAATATTAAGAACAAGCACAACAATTCATACCTGGGGTATCCTTTGCTATCAACAAATACTTTCTTTTCCTGATCCCATGTACCTTGTAAATTTTATATAAAGATCGTTAGAATTAATAAAAATTGAAATCAATAGACCTATAACTAATATATATATATATGAATTACTTACCACGCTCCGCAAAATATAATAAAGTTGAAAACAGTACAATACTTGTCACCATAAAGAAAAATAATGCTCCCAAAGCATCCATACTTCGTTTTACAGCAACTATCATCACTTCAATGGTCATGATAATCGTGGAAGAATATTTAAATGCTTTGAAGACACGAAGAAGACGAAACAACCGAAGGATAGTAAATCGAAAATCATAGGTCTGATCGGAAATTAAATAAACTTTCATATATAAAAGTCGCAGATTATTAATTTGTTCTAATAAGTCTAATCACTTACTGTATCATGATGAAACATTAATTCAATGTAATATGGTGCAATAGCAATAAAGTCTATAACAGCGAGAGGAGCTAATTTCAAATATGAAAAAGTAAATATACACACAATTAAAAATTCAAGAGATAAACATATAATGTTCCTTTACCTTTTACGAATCGCCATAATTGACGTAATGAATCAGAATGTGCAATTAAACGTAACACATATTCTAATGTGAAGAAAATTACAATAGTCGTTTCAAAATTAAACCTAATTTTTTATTTTTTTAAAAAAAAAAAATTAGAAATCCAAAAGTCACCTACTCTTTAGTTAAAAGAGTAAAAAATAAAGACTTACCACACAGAGCTCGATGTAGACCTAAATGAAGGTATTGTCTCAACAGTAGTTAGAACTGCACTAAGTACAATTGAGAATGACACAAACACATTGACCAGAAAAGCGGCATTACTAGAGGAAGGATCTTCCAACAAAAGGAATAATTTTCTCTTCCAATCGGTCCGCATCGAATTTGCTTCCGTATTATTGGCAGCGTTAGAGTTGTAATCATCTTCTGCTGTTCTGAGTTCTTGCGGAATCTCGGTAAGGGGCCATTCATCTTCCAGATCTATATTTGAAAGGGAGCTCCTACGGATTGGAGGCAATTGCGCAAAATGAACAACGTGAGGAGGTGCATCGAAACTAATTGGACTAGTAGAGGTCGGCTGGTTTGGAGGCGAAAGAGTTTGTAAAGGCATAGCTGGTTGTGTCATGAGAATAGGTTCACTCTCATTCGCAAGTCTCGTAAACTTTTGTTTCGTCATTTTGCTAAATAAACGTTTTGATATGATTGATTTCAAAAAAAAAAAAAAAAAGCTAGTTTATAAACGATCTCAGGGAGACGGCGATCCGATCATATGACCAATCTTGGACCAATCTTGAAGGTTGGGATTGGATCAATTAATCAAGTTTCAGATTTGAGAATAAAAGTTTTATTTAAAGTTTTCGAAAAAGTTTCTAAATATTTTTAAGTTACGCGTAAAATAGGTAGGATGTCGAAGAACATTTTAGGGAACATCTATTAAGTTCCCGCTCAAAAATTTGAGTCGATGCTGATTGGTTATTTCCGTTACATTAATTAATTGAAATTACTGCGTTCGTCCTCGCTCAAAAATTGAGATGATTTCGTGATTGGAACGGAAAAAACCAAATAAAGTCATTTTCCAAAGTTCCAATAATACCTAATACACATTCTCTTTTAGAGCAATCGTATTGTTTCTTCGATTGATTTGCGAAAATTGGTTTTCTATCAGTACACCTAAATTTACAATAGTTTCCAAAAGAAAATAAAAGAAAATATTTCTAAAAATAACATGTTATATACACTAGCCTACAAAAAGTATTCGGATTTTCATCACGTGATTTTGCGTTACTGTGCTAAAAATCGGCGTTTCTCCCTATCGCGCATATAAATAAAGGTGGTAACAAAAATATTTATTTTTAACTCCTCTTCTAGTTTTAAATGCGTGGAAACGAAGTTTCAAAGACCCACCGGGAACGAATTATCGGCGCATATCTTAGCGGTATTAGGCAAAGAGTTATTTCTACTCAGCTTAATATTCCGACTAGTACTGTAAGTGATATCATAAAAAAATATAAAAAAACTGGTTCTTCAGAACCCAGACAACGTTCTGGACGACCAAAAATACTCAGTGAATGCGATACCCGAGCTTTAAAACGTATTGTCCGAACCGACCGGTTTTCTCCTCTAGGTAATGTGACAGACAAACTAAATACCAGTCTTGACGCAACTGTACACTATAATACAGTCAGAAGTTATCTTCATGATGAAGGTCTCGGAAGTTATACTGCACGAAAAAAAACCTAATTTAACTCCAAAACATCGAACTAATCGCTTAAATTGGTGCAAAGAAAAAAAAATTGGATAGAGGAATGGAAACAAGTGGTATAGTCAGATGAGTCAAGATTCGCTCTTTTTCAATCAGACGGTTGAGTAAGAGTATGGAGAAGTCCTGGAGAAGCATATAATAAAGATTGTATTCAGCCAACAGTTAAGTTTGGGGGAGGATCAGTGATGTTATGGGGATGTTTTGGTTGGCATGGGGTTGGTCCTTTGGTTGTGGTGGAAGGAAACATGGATTCTAATGAATATATAAATGTCCTGGCCAATAATTTTATTCCATGGTTTGACAATTACCCAAATTTCATTTTTCAACAAGATGGGACACCCCTATTATACTTCAAATTACAGCATTTGGTAGATGAGAACACATAGTATCCCAATTTTAGACTGGGTGGCACAGAACCCTGATCTAAACCCATTGAAAATCTGTGGAACCATTTGGATTATCAGGTTCGAAAAAGAAAGCCTTTGCCTAAGTCTAAACAGGAGTTAATCAG